ATGGATGGATGGATGGATGGATGGATGGATGGATGGATGGATGGATGGATGAATGGATGGATGGATGGATGGATGGATGGATGGATGGATGGATATGTTGAGATGAAGACAAAAGATTTGAAGCACAGACAAGTCGTGTTGTTTTCACAGAAAAGCTCTGACCACAGCTGTGATCCAGAAGGTGGCAGCAGATTTCCACTGCGAGCATGACACCAGGTCAACATGTCACATTAAGTGTAACCAGAATGGTAGAAAGGTTGATTTGAAATGACAATTCTGTTCTTAAACCAAGGTATAGCTAGCATTATTAAAGACAAAAATTTTAAAAAGTGTAAAACAAAAAAAGTGCTTTGTATTATAAATATTCCTCATCTCCCTCTCTATTCTCTTTCTAAAAAAAAGAAAGAAAGAAATGACAAGACAGTTTATAAATATCAATATTAAAATGTCCACAGTAGCAGATAAACCCAACAGTAAAAGAGAAGACTGCTCACTTCACTGATTTGATTAGGCTTATGGACATTGTGAGAGCATTACTCTTTCTGTTCAACACTTATCTTTAAAGATAAATGTTACTTAATGGTAGCCCATAAAGTTTTGCAAATGTGCATAAATATGTCAGCTTTAAAAAAAAAAAAAAGATTGCAACAGTTTTAGGAACAGAATGAAGGTCATCAGGCTGCTTTGATATGTGGTCAAGGTTAACTTTTGTTTTTTTCCGACCTGTCCTTGTAACACGAAATGGTTTATCGTGATGTAGTTTGCTTCTTTCTGTGGACTCTTTAGATAAATCAAGTGAAGGTCAACTTTCTCCGTACTGATCAAAGTGAGACAGAAGCTATTTGGATTAGGAAATCTGACCTTCCCTGGTAAATTGACTCCTTTTGTCCTTTTACATCCAGTCAGTAGCTTTTTGTTCACTGCACTACTTTGGCCTTTATAACAGAAATAAAACAAGAGAATCGTGACATGATTCAAACAAATGTATTTTGTTTGCTAAGATAAAACAACAAACTATGCAGTTTTAAGAGTGTATCCATAACTATATATATTAAAAAATCTACATACACAATGCATGACAATAAAGTTAAAACAAATTTAAGTAAAGACAGGAGAATATATTTTTATTTTGTGAGCAAAGTTAAACTGATCCATTTTTATTCAGAACGGTTCCATCTTTTTACAGACAATTCTGTTTTTGCTGCAGCATCTGGGATAAATTAATATCAGTTTCCTAAGGAATCCCAGAAAGTCCAAGATAAGTTGAAAAACATGTTATTCAGAGTTTTCTTCTTACACTTCAGCAACAGCAGTGGCTGAGCTTTTGTGTGGGCTTTACCACCTGATCTGTAAGGGAGGAGCTACAAGTAAGTTAATCATGGTTAAAGTGGACCTTAAGTTAACTCCCATTCCATGTGTGGCTGTCAGAGAATTCAGTCATGGGACTCTTGCTCACAATCCTTTTCAGCATTTTTGTAGCTTTGGTTGGAGGGCTGTACCTCCTTGGGGTTTTCCGAAAGCGGAGACCAGGAGAACCCCCTCTCGACAAGGGCCTCATTCCTTGGCTGGGTCATGTGCTAGAATTTCGCAGGAACACTTTCAAGTTCCTGGGAAGGATGAAGGAGAAACATGGTGATGTTTTCACAGTGCAGTTGGCTGGACATTACTTCACTTTCCTTCAGGACCCTCTGTCCTTTGGGGCGTTTGTTAAGGAGAGT